TTAACATATACCTCATGCTCAAATTTGTCCCTTTTGAGGGGGGATTAAGGATATTTCTTGTACCTTTGTCGAAACAAAACTGCTGACGAACCATGCGTTTTCAGGGATGCACCCTTTGGCGAGCCACTAATGTGAGCCGGAAGTGAAATCACCTTTTTGCTTAAGTTACCAATAGACCCAAATTCGATTCTGCTCAACGCACTTAAACAGCCATTTTCTTGATTCCCACAACCAACAGAATAATTATTAGACTGGGAGGACCTCATGACATCTGATCTCCTCTTACGTCCATAATATCTTTTCCGTGCGGGCAAAACTTCATAACCACCATATTTTTCAAAAGGCTTCGTCGTGCCAGCTGGATATATGCCATTAGCATGACCCTCCCGATGGAAGTTATTCTCGTTACTCGGTGCCTTACTCTTCCCCCTCCCGTATGAAGACCTTTCCATGCGCACAACATTCTGCATCGAGTAAAAATAAATATCACAACCCAAATTATGCAAGTAACATAACAAACAAACAAAAAAAATGAGAGATACCATATTAGGAAAGTAGGTTCCAATTCCTCGTGCTTTCTGTTTCCCATCAAAATGGAAGGTACTGCCCGAAAGTTGAGAATCGGTTGATACTATGTGGGAACTCGTCCGAGAAAGTATATTATTATTACTACAATTATTCATTGTAAGAGGCGTCGATTGACGAACGTCATCCGGTGGCTTTCTATTCTGGATTATGGGAGAAGACGAGCAGTTGCTCTTGGCACTTGAGGACAAAGAAAACCCATGGCATAATTGACCACGTAGCAAACTTCTAATATTGCCGTCATAATCTCCACTTAGGTCGGCCAAGGGATTGAAGGCCTCCGAGTCCCCTTCAATGCTTGCAGTGTCGTTTTCTATAAAATCGAAATACGTATCTTTCAAGCAGGCAGCCCCACAATTGTCAACACACCATCGACAAGTACTTTTGTTGTCCATCCACGAAATGGTCCCAAACTTGTCCGAGTCAGTAGATGGTAAATCAGACTGTTGTGGCTCCGAGCTTCCGTTTTCGGTCGAGCATTTGGAATGTGGATTGTGGAAATAGTTATCGGAAAGAGACGCACTGTAATTGCTGCTTGAGTTGGATGTAGCAAAGCCATATCTGGGCCCCAAGAGATGATATCTCGAAACAAAAACACTGTCTGCAGAATAACAAGCCTCAGATACCATCTCGGGAGAAACTTCACCTACTGAGTGTGTGTCTACCATTTCATTCCTCAAATCCAAACTAGGCATAATATGTCCGATGCTAACACTAATGTCATCAAATTCAGAGGCAATTGAATTTAGAAACATTTCGTCGTCCTCCTCAGAAAATGATTCGACTTGGGATGGTAAAGACTCGGTGAAAGACTCTTCATCACCAAAATCAAAGGCCAAATGTCTACTGCCACTTTTATACTGGCGTTCATGCCTTGAACGAGTGTTGGTGAAAAATTTGAAGATCTCATCAGCAACTTTAGCTCTTGGTTGTAAAAGAACTTGACCGAGCTTGTGTGCCCCGAATTTGAATGCACTCTGTATACGGTAGAAATTACCTAGTAACAGAGAAAAAGCATGCAAGGACTATTAAATTGAGTGAAGAAATTATTAAGTTCCTATACTAGTACAAAGTACAAACACAATATGATCTATAAACAATTTCACATGCAATGGTGTTTCCCCTAAAGAAATTTGTAGGGATGGCTAAAAGGCCAAAACTATAGAACATTCTATTATCGCCAATATAGGATCTTCCGCAGTTATTCAGTAACAATTTTGAAACAGATGCAGATTCTGAAATATCTCGAAAGCATTTACATCTCATTTAATTGAAAGAAAGCAAAAGAGTTTGAGAAATTAACTCCTTTAACAAAAGTTTGAGAAATTAACTCCTTTAATAAGTCATTTAACAACTTCAAACCAAGAATAATAGGTAACTGCAAATATTTTCCTGCAAAATTTCATTTCATATTAAGCCAAAAAGAAATAACAGTTACACACTTATACTAGTGACATGATTGGAGAAGTTACCAGACAGAAAGACCAATTCAAATAATAGAAGCATAAAAGAGTGTGCTTTTGTTGTCTCACCCAGTACACCAATGTAATTCAACTCAGTAACTCATCAAACCACGGTGATTAATGTCATTCGAACAGGAAGAATCAGCAATAATTTTCCTCACCTCTGTGAACACTGCGCCCAAGATTATTATTTCCCTTGAGGGGATCAATTATATTAAGATGTTTTGGCTGAAATGCTCGTGAGTTTGCCTTGAGCCCCCTTGAAGGAACTGAGAACAATTCCAAACAGTTCTCCAGAAATTCTTCACTAAGCAACAGATGATTCCTCCCACCTTCAGGCATCTTGACTGCAAGAAAATCAGAGAATGAGGAGTCATTAGGCAAACAGAAGAACTTACCAGATTAAACATAATTTTGTTGTGATACTAAATTCAAAGAATCATGATAATGTTAAAGGAAACTGCTCACCGACAATATCAGGTAGGGACGCTTTACAAACTGGACCTTTCAAACTGATGCAATAATTATCCCAATCAAATTGGCTATAGTAATCCAAAAATTTGTAGAGTGCCTACACAGGAAAAATATAATAAACAAATAAATATATTCATTTTCGTTTTACTTGAGGCTGCCAATATAATTAAGTTGGAAGTACTTACATATAAAGGGCCACATAGTGATAAATGGAAATGATTGAATATGTATAGAACAAGTATCTCCAAGGCATATGTAGAAATTAAACCATGGTGAGCACCAAGGATACGACTCTCATAATAGCACCAAGTCTTAATTAGGATAATGCTTCGTTTAAAGAGATGATCTCTCCCAATAAGGCGATCTACCTGAATTGGGAAACAAAAAATCAATGAGAAAACCATAAGCGCACCCACAAGCATGGTATTAATTTTCACAAAAGACAGAAAAGCTTTTGTGTGAAGTAATAATCATCATACACAGCAATCTCAGCAGAAACTACCAGAAATTTACTTAAAAAAGACAGAAGCATGCAACCTTTTCAAATATTGTTATCTTATTTTATTTTACTTTATTTTCGATTTTTTTTTATCCATACTGAAACATCCAGTTCTCCATGTATGAAGCTGAGAATGAACAGAAATATGATTGAGAAAACACTGAAATAAGCCTTCAGCCTGCCGAGATCTCATCCCAAAGAGCTTTTTGTTGAAACAAATCAATAAGATGAATTAAAAAAAAAAAAAAAAAAAAAAAAA